AAAAAAAAAGTTCTTCGTTTATTTTCATACTGACTTTCAAATAAAAACTCTTTCTACTGTTAAGTGGCTCGCGTCTCTAATCCTTGTCTAATCCATGTCGAATCGTTACGACTTACTGTAGTAATCCTTACTACTAACTTTAGTAAGAATTAAACATGGATTAGTCAAGTATTATAGACTTGAGACAGTTAACAATAGGAAGGGATTAAATTTGGAATTGTGTCGTTATTGCAGAGGACCATCGATATACGGAAAAGTTGGCATTACAGAATTCCAATTTTTTATAGGAAACAACAACACCACAGAAGTTACGGTTAGAAAACGGCTTAAAATTTAGAAGTCTACATTTTATGGCACTATTTGGAACGAACTGTGAACAGCCGTATTGAAAACATTTATTTACATTTAATTGTACGTATTTACATTGTATTGTTTGACAACCACTACTTTGGTTTTGCCGATTTTGACAATTTTCAAGTAAAAGTAAACAACGTCGCAGAGACTTTAAATGGACTGAAACTCACTAATACTTTCACAAAAATTACCATTTTTTAACATTTTCTTAAGTAATTCCTTTTCTAAATCATATACTTATTTTTACAATTTAAAACAATTAAACCACGTTTCCTCTCGAAAAATTTAATAATAAGATAATTGACTATTCTCAACCAGTTCCAAGCAGTATTTTTTACATCTTTAGGCGTTTTTTTTTTTGAAATTTTGATTTTTCGAATACCGAGTAAACTGGATTTTTACAATCGAATAAACCGGGTTTCCCCTAGTTTTTTTATACACCAGAATCAAGGCATTTCAAACAGGTAGTAGTATTAGAGCAAAAACAACATTTGCTTTCAAAGCGTGACATGTGAAATAAAAAAAAGAAAATTAATTGAAATTGGAAACAATAAAAGTTGTTGCATCTTTTTTTTAATAAATTTGTTTGCTTATCGAAGCATTGATCCATCCGTGGCAAGGCCGAGTAATCAGCGGGCTGAGTTGTGCGAACGTTCCAAAATCTGCTATTCAAACGCTTGTTTTGTAGGGAAAAGAGATTCACATGCAAATAGATTTTACCAAATTAAAATTTGTGTGAGAAGAAATTACAAATATTTGACATTTTTGAGATGAAATAACCTGAAAAAAAATCAAATCATCTGCTCTAATGATACTACCTGTTCAATGTGCCTTGGTATGTACATATCGCAGCTTTGCTGCAAGAGTGTCATAGCCAAAAGAAATTTTTTTGATTTAAGTATGCAGAAATGACGGCCAACGCTTATTCTATGTTGTGTAGAAATTTCATTTCGATTAACAATAACTCATTAGAAGAAAATGTGCCTTAATTTTAACCATGGAAGTACATATATGTAAACTGTAAACTTTATAGCCTTTTTTATAGTTTTTGATTTTTTTGATTATGTCACTCTTGCAACAAAAGTACGATATGTACATACATGACCATAATGAACATTACAACAAGCCAAGGTGGATTTATAAAGTGAATATTTTAAATATGCAATTGAAAGAATGTAAGCGTAAATTTTTAAAAAATTACCATCAAGTATATTGTCAGATGCATGTCATCCACCATACATACATACATACATATCGCACGCCTAGATCCAAGTGACTTTAAGTGAGCTAACTCAAAATTCATAGAGGGAAATTTAACTGCTTGTGGATAGTACAGATTCAACGCAATTAATATAAAAACCGGTATAACTGTAGTTTTTTAGTTAATGTATATAATCATGAAAAAAAAATATTTCCATTAGTTGGATGTAAGTCCTATGAATATGCAAAAAAATTACCAAATTTTTTTTTTTTAGTTGATCGCACTTTAGATCTAGGTGTGCGATATGTACATATGTGCATATATATGTATTTACAATGCTACATATATCAATGTACAAAATATATATCTACTATAAGGCACTAATGTCAGTTTAACTGCACACATATTCATGGAATATTGAACTTCGTTATCCGTTCAGAAAATCTTCGAGGGCATCCTTAGTTGTAGGATCTTCCAGCACAACTTCCTCAAGTGCAACTGATTGTGGCAGCGTTTCTGTTTGAATTTCTACAATTAGAAGTTTACATAGGTTTATGACGTTCGTCGAAAGCTACAAATTTACCCACTTGTTATGGTCCCCTTTGTCTTGAATTCTGCCAAATCACCGCGGAATGCATCATCAAATACTGCTTGTCGTTCTCGCTGTATTCGTCGCAATTGTTGCTCGTGCTGTCTTATCTTATCCTGATGTTCAGCAGCAACACGCCGACGATATGATTCTAATTCAACTACGTGTAATTAATAAACGGATTAAGAAAATTCGCGACTATATCATTTGAATGTATTGATAATAATAATTCAACAACTAACTTACTCATTTTCATCTGCTTAAATTGTGATAGTTCACACTGTTTATTCAGCATATACTCCTGTAAATCACACTCTTCACATAAATCCTGCAAGCGCTCCAATTCCATTTCCACCGAAGCGCTTAGTGCGTCCACCTTTTGCAACGTCTTCGCGCTTTCACTTAGTTTCTCCACTAACGCTGGTATACCCGACAAACAGGTTATTAAATCTGTCATATCAACATGCAGTGCGCTTGTACGTTGTCCAATTTGTTCAATCTGTTCGGCCACTTGTGACGCTTTTGAGGCGTTCTCCTCATTTGCAACATGCAATATTCTCCAATCATCTTCATATTTCGCAAGCAAATTACAACCGGCAGCCATATTTAAATCTGCTGGTAGAATCACATCATTAAGGGAAACTTGCCCAAAGGAGTGAGAACTGCGATTGCTGGGTATACTGTCGTCTAGGGTGGGTGTAGTGGCGCTGCTACCGGTGGACGAAGCCTGTCTTTGTCGATACTGCTGCTGCAAGTTTTCAGTAATGATAAAACCATCTTGGATAGCGTTGTTTAGTTTTTTACGCAAATTTCCAAACATTATTGTACTGATTAAAATTTATTTAATTTCTTTTTATTAATCAGAAGTATTTGGGATGAATTTTCGGAAAATAACAATTGTAAACAGAATCAGCTGACTGAGCAACGTCAATAAACAAAAAAAAAAGGGTTGCCTACTCACGCAAGTGTAGAAAATAGTTGTGTTTCTTCAGTTATCCAGCTCAGTATCACGATTTTATACTACTAGCATTAGAAAGACGAAATTATAAGCATGAACTCACTAAACGCTGAAAAGTACAAATATTTAACGTAAAAGCAATTTATTTATGTATACATACATTCGTCAGTGCTACCAAACCGCACTGCCAAGTTATCAGTTACACAAACCAAACAGAGCGGACCATAAATTGAACCAGATCTCTATTAGGGAGCTACTCTGTAATGCGCTACGAAAGAGAAACGGATGCCGGCCGGTTCTAAACTATGCAGCCCCAGTGTAGTCGCCGGAGACTAGCAGGACGTAGAGGATGAAGCTACATACCTGCCATAACACGGCACTTCGGACACCGGCCGAATGCCTTCTGATGTCGCCCCAACACCCCCTATACGATGAGGCCCAGATGCTTCCCATCAAGGAGCCCAATAGACAGCTGCGCTTTGGCTCAAACCAAGGGGAATTTATACAAGAATACAACAACACCCACATGTATTTTGTACTGCGCCCAACCGATCCCACCAAGGCGAATTTATACAAGGTGGTGTTATTAGATCAGCTGATTTCTCCGTCTTACATGCATTTTGTTTTTGCTTTTACTGATTTGACAGCACACACATCAAAAGGAAAACAAAATACAATTTGCGTCGAATTGAGATTTGACATACCATCCGTAATCAAGGTGTATTTAACAAGGTGGTGTATAAGGCGAATTTATACAAGGTGGTGTTACTGGCGAATTTCGATTTTCGCCGCAGTCCTTCTGAATGTCAAAATTATGCGTTTGTTGTAGTATGAATTCGCCTTGTTTACAACAAACACGTCATTTTACATTCAGAAGGACCGCGACGAAAATCTAAATTTGGCAGTAACACCATCTAGTATAAACTCGACTTGGTGGTGTTGGGGGGACAGCTGAGTTTTTCGCCGTGAAAAGCATTACGTCAAAATGATGTGTTTGTTGTAATTCATATCAATGACAGTATGGACAGTAATCAAAAATACATGTGGTTGTTGTTTTTATATTCCTGCTACCACCTTGCATAAATTCGCCTTGCCACCTTGTATAAATTCGCCTTGAACACCACCTTGTATGAATTCGCCTTTCCACCTTCAAGGTGAATTCGCGTTGGCCTCCTTGTACGAATTCGCCTTGTGCGGGTGCAAAGAAAGATAAGCGTAAAAGCTTGTTTACATGAGGCGATATTACAGACAAGTTTTAGTTGGTACAACAATCGCCAGGCATAAACAGTTTTTCAACAAATCACTTTCCATGAAATTGCTCGGTAGAAACCGTTGGATTCAACTGCAAAATCGGACGGGAATCTGGAGTAAAACTGTTTATAGTTTATAATATTATATAATATAATATAGACTTTTTTCTTAAAGAAATACACATTCATATAAATATTTATTACTAACCTACTTCAACGCATGTTCAGGTAAAGCATTAATTGCTATCACGGTGGCGCAGAATCGGAAGATTTGTCCAACGAGGATTTCTGCTCGCTGATTGGCTCAGATGTAGTAGTTGAATTATTATCATTTTGTGTATTAACTGTATTTTGTATTGTTGTTGTAACAATCGGTG